AACCGGGGGGGAATGATGGAGACGAGACCGCTTTGGCGTTCTTGGCTAAGTTCGACAGGCTCAAGATTTAGTTCTATTATTATTTTGCTATCTTTATTATTTTATTTCCTTCTTTGCTTTTGTGCTTTCCTAGTTAATGGTTTTATTTTAGGAAATAAATAATACTCTTGCAACATGTTAGGCAAGAGTAGGACTCTTTTATTTATTTAAAGGGAGGATTATCGAATGGAATGAACAGATTTTGATGAATTAAAAAAATTGATCGTTTCTTCTTCAGAGAGAGTATCTCTAAGTTCTGTCATCGTCTTGAGAGAGTATCTCAAGCACCCAACGCACACGTTCTACATCACAACATAAATAAATACATAACATTTCCTAAAATAAATGTAGGAAACAAAATGAATAAATAAATACATAGCATTTCCTAAAATAAATATAGGAAACAAAATGAATAAAATAACAAATGCATTACATTTTATAGTTTAAATGTGCAGTTTTTTAAATAAATATACATAATTTCAAAATAAAATATGATAATGTAAAAAAAGACATAAATAAAAGTACGACATTTTTTAATACAAATGTGCATTTTTATTTTCTTAGTGGATTCTAAGTAACAACATAAATAAACACATAACATTTCTTGATATAAATATGCAAAATAACATGAATTTAGATAATGCAATTTTTAATAGATATGTGAAAAAGCAGAGTATTTTTGGTGGTGAAAAACACCATTTTCAATTAATCAAAAAATCAAGTACAAAAGCTGTTTTTGTCTCATATATATACACACGTATGCATGCATATTAAGTAGGAGAAAACTAAAACGACGTCGTGTGAACTTATAACTTAAACGACGTCGTGTACATTTAATGAAAGCTAACAGCTGGCTTATTTACAAAAGCGCACGCACGATTATGAACTAAAAAGAAAAAATCGAAGAAAACAGAAATATGAAACTTGAGCTTGAGCTGCTTCACTTCACTTCATTTCTTGACCAAGTAAGATTCACCATTCCTACAGCCCCCTCTCAAGTTGGGCCAGGGGAAATGCAAACCATGCCCAACTTGCCAATCAAACTCTGGAACTGAGCTCCAGTAAGTAGCTTAGTAAAAATATCTGCACATTGGGACTTCGAAGGGATAAACATAGAGGCAACAAAACATGTCTTGAACTTATCCCTCACAAAGTGACAATCAATCTCCAAATGTTTGGTCCTTTCATGGAAGACGGGGTTGGCACTGATATGCAATGCAGCTTTGTTGTCACACCATAAGGGTATAGGGTAGGTGAGATCAAGATGAAAATCCTGTGCAATACAGCTAATCCAAAGAAGTTCAGCCACTAGAGCACTCATAGAGCGATATTCTGCTTCAGCCGAGGAACGTGACACTGTGTGTCGTTTCTTGCTTTTCCATGATATCAGTGCTCCTCCCATAAAAACACAATAACCAGTAATGGACCTCCTAGTGTCCTTACAAGCAGCCTAGTCTGCATCACAGTAGGAGGTTAACACCTTAGAGTTACCTGATGGAAAATGGAGTCCTAAATCTGCAGTGCCTTTCAAATATCTGAGAATGTGAAGTGTTGCATCCCAATGTGTGCTAAGGGGATTGGTGACAAACTGGCTAAGCTGTTGCACAGCATAAGTAACATCAGGCCTTGTCATATTAAGGTAGAGCAACCTACCTATAAGCCTCCTGTACTTTTCTGGTTCATCAAGTGGTAATCCTTCTGTCATAGTTAATTTCAGCCCATGTGGAAGTGGTGTTGAGGCACCTTTGCAGTCTAATAAACCTGCATCCCCTAGTAGGTCAAGGACATATTTCTTTTGACTAAGAAGAACACCATCAGCAGTGTTTCTTATTTCAACCCCAAGAAAAAATTTTGCTATCCCCAAGTCTTTGATGCTAAAAGCTATATCCAAAAACCGTTTCAACTCTTTGATCAGCAAACCACTTGAGCTTGTAATCAAAACATCATCCACATATACCAAAATAGCCAAAAAAATCAGTGCCTCTCTTCATGGTGAATAAACGGTGGTCATACTTAGATTGAAGTAACCCAAAATCAGACGGTTTGGTGCACAACTCATTATTCCACTCTCTTGAGGCCTGCTTGAGTCCATACAAGCTCCTAACCAGCTTGCAAACCTTTCCATCTGTAGCCTTGAAATATCCCAATGGTGGTTCCATATAGACTTCTTCAGTTAAATGCCCATGCAAGAAGGCATTATTCACATCTAGTTGGTGGAGTTTCCAATTCTGTTGTATTGCCATGGCTATGAAGATCCTCACAGTCACCAACTTTGCAACTGGAGAAAAAATGTCAATGTAATCCACCCCTTGGACTTGATTATATCCTTTAGCTACCAATCTTGCTTTGAACCTCTCAACTGACCCATCTGCTTTTCTTTTAATCTTAAAGACCCATTTAGAACCTATGGTCTTTTTATCAGGAGGTAGATCTGAAATTTCCCAAGTGTGATTATGTTCAAGAGCTTCTAGTTCCTTTTGCATGGCTTATCTCCATGCTGGATGTCTGCTAGCCTCACCATAGTGTGTTGGTTCTTTGTCCATTTCTATTCTGCTCATATAAGCTGCAAAGCTTTCTGGTTGAGGAATTGTAATATGAGATATGTTGTTGCAGATATAGTCTTTTTGCCACACTGGTGCTTGTCTTTGTCTCATGCTTCTTCTCATATTTCCATCCATGTTGGGTGTACTTAAGCCTTCCTCCTTACTAGTCTGTTCTGAGGATGTTTCTAGCCCACCATCATCCTCTACTGGAAGTGGTATAGGACATTGCCCATGTTCAGATTCAGTTGCAAAAGGGAATTGTTCCTAAAAAAAAAATAACATCTCTGGCAACAAACACATCTCCTGTGTCCATATCATAAAGCCTATAACCTTTCTTCCCAATAATATATCCAAGGAAAGCACATTTTATACCTCTTTTGTCAAACTTAGACTTGTGTGGCACAGTGTTAGCTGCATAACACAGGCATCCAAATGGTTTCAAGTTCCCATAGTCAACTGGTGTTTTGTTTAACCTTTCAAAAGGTGTTTCCCAGTTCAAAACTGAGCTAGGTGTTCTGTTAATCACAAAAGCAGCTGTGAGAACAGCAAATGGCCAAAACTTTGTGGGCATGCCTGCTTGAAAAATTAGTGCCCTTGACACATCTAGCAAGTGCCTATGCTTTCTTTCTACTCTACTCCATTCTGCTGAGGAGTGTAGACACATGTGGTTTCATGCAAGATCCCTTTCTCCTTAAGAAAATTCTGAAATTCTGTTCCCATAAACTCTTGCCCATTATCAGACCTCAGCCTTTTGACCACAGAACCATATTGTGTTTCTGCCATAGCCACAAAACATTTCACCAGCTTTTTTGCTTCTGACTTGTGTCCCATAAGTAACACCCAAGTACCTCTGCTATAGTCATCCACTATGGTAAGAAAGTAAGGTGTATCAACTAACCTTTTATCCTTGCATGGTCCCCATATATCCACATGTATTAGTTCAAAACATTGACTGGTTTGTATGCTGTTGTTCCCAAAAAGTTGTCTATGTTGTTTTGCCTTTTGACATATTTCACACTTGTGCAACATTTCTTCACTATCTTTATTGCACTTTCCCTTCAGAAACTGCAGGTGTTTAAGAGCTGAGTAAGAAGCATGACCCAAGTTCCTATGTCAGGATTCTATATTGACATTACAAGCCTTTTCTTCTGTATCTTCCACTTTTCCAGATATACAGATTTCCCATCATTTCTCCATATCCCAGCATCCTCTCATTCAGTTGATCTTGTAAGTAGCAATGAAATCCAGTGAAAGTCCATGATAGATCACTGTTTGCACACAATTGCATCACTGACATCAGATTATACTTGAATGTGGGCATATATAGCACATCCTTCAGCACCACTTCCTCACTGATGTTCACTTCTCCTCCACTGTCCACTGTTTTGAGAGTTCCATCTGGTAGACATATACTAATTGGATTTTTTAGTTTCACCAAATTCTTCATTATCTTATCATTCATACAAATGTGCCTACTGGCACCAGTATCTATGATCCAGCTATCATTATGTATTCCCTTTGTTGCAGACAAAGCAAAATGTACCCTTTATTCTTCCTCACCAATTGTGTAGTTTGCAAACTGAGCATAATCCACCCTTTGGTTTCCTCCTTCTTTTGCTTTTATGTACTGAGTCAGTTCATTTAGCTGTCTGATTACTGAGGCCAAATCTCCTTCCTTGGTTCCTTCCTTTGAGTATGGTTTTTGACAGTTTGATTCTTCAACCTTGTAAGTTTCAGCATTATTTGCATATGCTCTTCCATTTTGCTCTCTATATTTCTTATACCATTCTGGCACACCATGAATTTTGAAGCAGGTAGCAATTGTGTGCCCATTCATTCCACACTTGTCACAATGCAGCTTGGCCTTTTCTTCCTTACTAATCCTAACAGTTCCTATTCCTTTCATATTATTCCATTGGCCTCCTGTGTTTCCAGGCTTTCCAGTAGGATTTCCTCTTCCTTGTCCCCTTCCATTTCCTCTTGTCCTAGCCATCATGGCACCTGTTTCACCATAGAAATTTTGCACATTCCTTTGCCTTTACTTAAAACCATAGAATTTGCTTTATTTATAGTAGGTAGAGGCTCCATCATCATGATCTGACCCTTGAGACTCTCATAGCTATCATTGAGTCCCATAAGGAACTGTATGAGCTTTGTATCCTGTTCATGTTGAGCTGCCAATTTGCCTTTTTCACAATTACAACTTTGCACAGGCACAACACAAGCTAGTTCATCCCAAAGCTTCTTAAGTTTCCCAAAGTATTCCATAGCCGTGTTGTTCCCTTGAGTTAGGGTATTAATTTCCCTCTGCAATTTATATTTCAATGGACCATTATTATCACCATATCTTTGCCCTATTTCTTCCCATAATTCCTTAGAACTCTCAGCAGATATGAATGTTTCAGCAATTTCCTTAGACAGTGAGTTCAAAATCCACGATAAAACCATTCAATCAACCTTTCTCCAATCAGCATAAGACTCATCATCAAAACTAGGTTTAGGCACTTCACCGGTTACAAATCCAAGTTTATTCTTAGCTCCTAAGGCGATAATCATAGACTTCCTCCATGGTAAAAAATTATTTCCAGTCAATTGATGCGATACTAACATCATACCGGGATTATCTGAGCCATGGAGTATGAGCGGATCTGAAGCATTCATTTTTGAGCTCGAATATGCGTTCGTGTTCAGCAGCGGCCATGGATTTCCTCGTTTGTGCTCCAATTTTCAGCTATGAGCTTACCAGTAGCTCGATTACTTTAATCGCTTGATTTTCAACTTCAAATGATCGATCTGGTGCAGCGAATTTCCAGAGATTACTGCTCTGGTACCATGTGAAAAAGCAGAGTATTTTTGGTGGTGAAAAACACCATTTTCGATTAATCAGAAAATCAAGTACAAAAGCTGTTTTTGTCTCATATATATACACACACGTATGCATGCATATCAGGTAGGAGAAAACTAAAACGACGTCGTGCGAACTTATAACCTAAACGACGTCGTGTACATTTAATGAAAGCTAACAGCTGGCTTATTTACAAAAGCGCACGCACGATTATGAACCAAAAAGAAAAAACCGAAGAAAACAGAAATATGAAACTTGAGCTTGAGCTGCTTCACTTCACTTCATTTCTTGACCAAGTAAGATTCACCATTCCTACAAGATACACATACTTTCAAAGGCTTTACAAATTTGCATTTTTTCATTTTTTATTGGATTCTAAATTGCAACATAAATAAACACACAACAACATTTCTAGTATAAATATGAAGGAAAATGCTACAAGTACATAACAAACGTACATAGAGTTGTAAATAACACTTATATTGAGTGGGGTCCACTTGATTTTTTATTGTGATGGGTCCCACTTAATGTGAGTATTACGTACATCCCTATGTACGATATTATGTACTTGTAGCATTACTCAAATATGAAAAACAACATAGAATAAAATATATACACATTATGTTTCATAGTCTAAATATGATACTATTTAAAACAACATGGATAAAGTACTAAAATTTTTAATACAAACTATTGCAGTTTTCATCACGCAAGCATGACGAATCAAACCCGCAATGCAAGAATAAAAAAAAAAAAACATTTGTTTGACTGATTCAAGCCGCCGAGTGCCGGTCAAAACTTACACGCTTTGACTTCAAAAGAGGTGTAAGTAACATTTCCACGGTCAAACCTCTTGCTGCCCTTCTCAGAAACATCTCATGGGCTGGGCACCAATTTTTCCACACCAACAAATCAAAACCAAACCCCATTTTATACTCTTTAATTATTTATATATATCACCCTTCAAATTCATCTCTAAAACTCTTTCTAAAATCCCCCAAAATCACTCTCCCACTTCCTCTCCAGATGGCCTACACGATGACGTCATTCACCGATCTCCTCGAAGCCAGCCATGATCAAGAATCAGAAAAACAAGAGAAAACCTCGTTTAATTGGGACAAAAACATTGAGATTCCCAAATACAAATCATTTTCACCTTCTTTTCTGCCTTTGTCCCCTCCACCAATCTCTCCTTCTTCTTACCTCTCATTTCCACCTGGCTTGAGCCCCTCTCTTCTTCTTGATTCCCCTGTTCTTTTTTCATCATCCAATGTAAGTTCTCTTCACATATACTTATGTTAAAAGATTCAATTTTTACGATATATATGTCTTAAAGATTCAATTTTTAGGATATATATGCCTTAAAGATTCAATTTTTAGTGTATATATCAAGTAAAGATTCAAATTTTTAGCTGATATGATAGAACTTTGTAATGAATTTTTCCTTGTTTGATTTCTCTAATGGTGTGTTTGTTTAGGTACTTCCATCTCCGACCACCGGAGCTTTTGCCGGGCTATCGTCCAACGTGACCACCGACGTTAAATATTCCGACTTTTCTTTCCAGTCCCAAACACGGCCTTCGGATTCTTGCTTTTCGTCTTCTGCAGGAATGAACTCATCAATGGTATCAATCATGA